GCTATGGTCATTTTGAAAACCGAAATCACCTTGATGAACAGCCCGCCGTTTGCGCACGCCAGATCGAGTAGTCGCTGCGCGCTACGTGCGTGTACCTAAATTTCATACATAGTTTTTGAGCCCAGCCGCCGCCTCACCGCTTTGATCACCCTGGATCCACTCGCTTGTTGTACTCGGCGTGGCGGGCGAGGAAAGATCTTATGATCGACGATGATGGCAGAGACCTAAACGGGGAATCTCATTTCCGGAAAGTCGAACGGAGAAAACGCCAAAATCCCGCGATAAAAAATCTTGAACAGGCCAAAAATCCCGGCAGCCAGAGACCCCGATTTTAAACCCATTTCTGGGTAAAACGAAAGGAAATATCACATTTGGGCTGTCGCGATTATGGCCGTCAGAACCCAGACATTTTCCTAAGATTAATTCGTTCCTGAAAAAGTCAACCGTAAATGTCTCGCCGCCCTCCCAATTCGAATGGCGCCGATCTGCTGCAAATCCTCGACAGTGTCGGCGGATCGAGCCCCGCCCACCGCGCTCGCTATGCCCACGGTGCACCTAAGAAAAACACAGATTTTATTTGATGGCTTAGCGCTGAAAACACAATTTCAAAGCGTAAAATTTGCCCGGTGGCCACGCCGATTTTCCTACGTAACGTCCATTGGGCTGTTCGAGTGGCCGTCGTCGCTAGGCGCATCACTAAAAAAGTGAACGATAGCTTTTCGAAGATTTTGAGGTCGGGAGTACGAAGAGGGGGAAACACGCGACAAGAAGCTCGGACAACAACACCCGGCAAAGTGTTGAAAGAACGGCCGATTAGGTGCGGGAATGTTGCGGATTGTCGCGTAGGGCTACCGTGAGTCGGACATGCCGAGGAGAACACCGTTTTCCCCAGAGAGCAAGATCGCTTTTCTGTTATACTAAGAAAGTCTACGTAGCGATCTTCGTGATCCCGCTAGGGTCAGGAAAAGTTCGGGAAAAAAATCGGTTCTTTTGCACTATCGGGGGCAGGGGCAACTTTAACTTTTCTAAGAGTCCAATTTGTCAGGAAGCTTTACAAAGAATGTTTTCGTATACTATGTCTAAAACGCAAAACACAAAAATCCCATTAAAAACACAAAAATATAATTTTCGATCAAAATTTCAACTGAAAAATGTTTTCAGTGCTATTTTTCCGCTTGGAATAAAGTTCAATGTTACTAAAAACTATTAAAACATTGAATATCAAGAATTATTAGGCTTTTCTGGCTTTACGGGAAAGAATCCTTCCCCGATAATGGAAAAGCGCCGAAAAGTGCATGTTTCTCCCGGTATTTAAAGTCCGCAGATACTAGATAGAAACATATGTATCGACTTCAATGTATTTTCCAACTAGAATCACAACAACGACAAAACGTTTATTCTCCAAACAGTTCCAACAACAAATTAATCGTAAGTCAAAACAGCTTGATGCGAAATTCGTTTAAAGGGTGGAACTTTCCGGGACAGGGGGGGCCACAATAATCAAATGCTAGAACTGGGGGAATTCGTGGAGGAAGAGGGCAAAATTAAGGCTTCTGGATCTGGATAGGGATCTTCTTGACGTTGCCGGTCAGACGCTCCTTCTCAGTAGCGGACGGTGAGGTGGCCATCGCGCGACAGGTCGCTCTTCACCTGAAAAAGATAATTAGAACACTGAAACGGATTCTTTCACCCATGCTTCATATATATATAATATATATATAATTGGTGGGGACTTTTTATGTTTAGAAATGTCTAGGAAAATAATGTAGAATTGTTTAAATAGTGTTTTCAGTAAAAAAAAAAATCACTATTTCAACTAGGAACCTATCTAAAACTTTTGAAAATCAAAATTTTGTCGAAAAATCGATATTTCTGAGCTTTTCTAACAGAATTTGGCTAAGGTTTTTACGTTTAGAAGAATAAAATCCAAAATTTACCTCCTCCGGCCGCTTGACGGTCGGGGGCAACCGGAATTTGCGCGTGAACGAGCGCATGACCTGAAAGAAGGAATTGAAACCCCCGGAAACGCCGCTGAATACCTGGCCAAATTTGTCCGTCTTCTCGTCGTGCCTATACCTCGATCACCAAATCGTTGTCGATGATGTTGACCTAACGTACAATGTTAACGCCAAAATCTCGAAGGGTACCTTCAGCTCCTCGGAGGAACCGAAGTGCGAGACGTCAATGGCAGTGAGCCAGACTCGACACTCATTGTCCGATCACCTGAAAAGAGCAGATTAGGAATAGGAACCGAAAGCGTACATCGTTGAGACCCTCGCCGAGTCGATGGCCGCTGAACATGGAAGGTGTCGGCCCAGTAGGGTCGCGTGCTGACCATGCGATCAAAGTCCTCGTCGAAGAAGTTGGACCTGGAAGGGAGAAGTTAAAAGAGGGGGGCGCGGAGCCTAGCCCGCTTGATTCGAGCGGGCTCGTACTCGAAATCGAGGCGCGCATAGCTTTTGAGCATCAGCAGCACCAATTTTGAGGTCTAAGCGGCGGTCTGATGCTGTCCAATTCGAAATCAGCGCAAAAACGGTGTACAGACCCGGCAATAAAACCCCACGCGTGGTAGCCTAATCGCAAGAGAACGGAACAGTTGTGCGAGCACAGCGACTTCATAATGCGCCCCGGTGCTCATGTTCGGCGCGTTCGACTCGAGAGCGCGCGTCGCCAGAAACGCCCACGAAAACCATTACCTTCCCATCTGGGTGAGCGGCGAAAAGTGCGGGAAGCGGCGGTTCATGGCTGACGATGAGGGTCGCTGCGAGGGGATGGTCGACGCCGACGACTTCAGGACGTTCACTTCGTGCGTGGGAGTGGTGGCCGAGGTGGTATCTGGAAATGGGAAATAAAACGCAGGAAAAGTGTTTAGTACACAAGAATATGCCCAAAATTTCCAACGGAATATAATCTCAATAGGGAATACTAAGTGGGTAGAATTCAATCAAAGGTGCTCGAGCAGCATGAAGAACTTCAGAAAACGTGGAAAAAGCCTGTTCGCTATTCTTCGTGCCCTTTCTAAGGCCTAAAACTTTAATTCCTCAGTTAACTTTCGTTTAAATAACCGCCGCAAAAACCAGTCATATAAAAACTCGGGGAAACACCAAAAACAAAGCGAAAAGCCTAAAAACTCAGGCAGTTAGCCTCCAAATAGTGACCCGTAACATCAAGCGCCCTAAGCTTTTATACCCCTATTTACGGAATAAATGATGACTAAGCGCCCGCTGAAAACTATTCGCGGTTGGGTGGGTGAAGCAGATGCAAAGCTACGGGAGAAAAAGACTGTCCGGGTGCCCCCTCAGTTCCCCGGAATAAGTACCAGGGTTGAGCGGCGAGTTGCCCTGTTTGCCTAGTCATTAACAGCTTTGCCGGTCGGTTAGCGTGGGCGAATTCCGCAGGACCCCAGAAGCACCCACAGCGGTCAAACTCGACAAACAGAGAATTCGCGTTCCGCAAAAAAACCCGGCACCCTGGAAAGATGAGGCGGATGGCACAAAAATTACCCTTGTTGGCAGCGTAATGGGTGTTACCTTGATTGACGATGCCGTCCTTCTCCTCGTAAAAGTGCCGGTAGGTGTGCTTGATTGGTCGCGACATTGCTGGAAAAAATAAAAGGGTTAGGAAAACGAAGGCGCTATTTCGGTTTGGCCGAGGCCAATTTTGATCGGCGGTTTTCTCAACGATCCTGGGTGGTTTGACGCGCTGAGCTCGAAACAGCATTATACCGCCTGAAACAGAAGCATAATGCAAATATCGTATTACTATTCTGTTTCGCTATATTCGAAATCCAACACAAAAACTAGCCCAGAGCGACTCAAAAATCGAAAGCAAACGTGGCCAGCATGAATTTTCTGCGGTTCGATTTCAATTTTAACGTTATTCCCGGGAATCAAGCATTAGGAATTGGTCTATTGTTATTCGAGCTCAGTGCACCAAATACCCTAGAATCGACAGGAAAACCGAGGCGGAAAACGGTCGCTTAAAGTCGGATCCGGCTAAACCGGAATAGCGCCAACAGTCTGAAAAAAAAAGAATAATAAAAACGGAAGAAAACGAAAGTAAAAAATAAATCTCGTAAAAAAATTTCGAGAGAAAGAAACCCCGAAAGTTCGACCGAGGGGCAATGCGAATAGTACGGGACAAGTACGCACTCTGAAATTACGGTATCCTAGACGCCAAAATGAAAAACGTAGCGCGGGTTTTGGAAAAGAAACGACGAAAGAATTGGAATGTTTATTTTCGTTTTTCTTGCAAAGAACGATACAGCCACGTCTCTTTGAAATTGTTTATCCGACTTGATCGAGCACATAAGAATGAGGCCCGTACAAGCCGACAATAGGGATTGGGACAACGAGTAGATGGAGCGAAGGAAGCGGACCGGCATTGGGGAAAGCTCAAGTTTGACAAGGAAATATACATAAAAAAATTTTGTGGCGTTATTTCTTGACGCTGCGCGTTCGGGTGAGCCCCGAGCTGCGGAAGCCGAACGCCTGAATCTTCATCAGCGCGTCCTTTCGCTCGAGGCCGGCGTGGAGGGCTGAGTTTGGTGGAGACCTGGAAATTAAAGTTCTATCGACTCCAAGATAAGGTTACGCTTCTACAGGAGATTCTCGTACATTTAGAGTTGGCGGGAGTTCTTTTTTCGACGTCGGGGCTGATGGTCGGCTTATCGAAAGTTTCTAAAAACGGAATTACACCGCAAAAAGCGCCGACAACCTGGAGACGGCGAAAGTGGGCGATGAGCGGTCGCGGAGACCCGCTTGAATGGGTTGATGGTGATCCTAAAATCGAAATTTGACGTCATCAAATAGCGTTGGTTATGCAAGCATTGGTCAGAAATAAACCTCGCGCAAAGCCATACTTTTCTCTAGCAATCATCGAAGAGCTGCTGCCCAATACCGTCGTTGTTTCGACAATGACGTTATCTACGAAAGGAGGGAAATCAAGAAATAATAGCCTCTATGCGCATTATCGAGGGGGGTTTCGAATCGGCTAAAATTTGCTTATACGGTCACCTACTCAAAACCCAACTTTTGATATGTCAAAAAATGCTCAGCAGGACGAGCTGATGCGAAGATCCGTTGAAAAAACTTGGCGGCAAGCTCTAACTCAAGATACATGAGGTTAGAAGTTGGCTGATGTCGTATCCGGTCACCTACTCAAAACCTAACTTTTGATATGTCAAAATGCTCAGCCGGACGAGCTGATGCGAGATCCGTTGAGAAAAACTTAGCGTTCACAGCTCTATCTCGAATTACACGGCTTCGTAGTTCAGCTCACTGACTTCGAAAACCGGTTTCGCTGATCCGATAAGCGGTTTTGCGACAGAAATCACTCAATTTGGAGAAGAAGTAATCGCTACTTCTTCCGGGCTGCGACTAGAAAAGGCTTCGTGCCACCCGGGGTGGCCTGAGTCGCTTCCGGATGGGTCTGTCGCCCCTGCCGGGTTTCGAAATCAGGGCGCCCGAGGAAGAGAGAGAGAGCGTGAATGTGTGAAAAAATGTAAAATCTGGGTTTAAAAACGTGCTTTCGATCAATTACGTAGGTTTCCGAATTTTCGCTGAGGAATTTGTGCTGTCTTTTGGTGCTTTTCGTACTACTGACGCACTCAATATTTCGCCATTTTAGTGCTTTTCTTTTGTGATATCTCGAGATAGAGCTTTCGCCGCCAAGTTTCTCAACGGATCTCGCATCCCAGCTCATCCTGCTGAGCATTTTGACATATCAAAAGTTGGGTTTTGAGTAGGTGACCGTATAACAAATGTTCCCTTCGAATCTAATTTTAAAAATTTAAGTCATGAAAGCCTTTGCTAAACGCGTTTTAGCATTCCTCAAGCGTGAAAAATTAACAAAATCTTATAAAACATGTCTAAATCTTGGATTTTGACCAAAATTGCGACTTTTAAGTTTTTCGATGGTTTTACGAGCTCAGCCGTAGTTATTTTTCAACAAAAACCCTAGAGTTATTTTAAAAAAATTCGGTCTTCGGTCCCCCCCGATGTGTGGAAAAAGAACCAAAAAAATAGGTTTTACCATCCGAAGAATCGCCGAGCGTCTCGACTGAAGGTTCCCCGACATCGCCCGTCCCGTAAAACTGGGCAGCGCGCTTGCGATTGGCCAAAAGGTTTGGAGACGCCGTGGGCTGGGGAAGAAGGCGGCGCCGGGTGATTGAGATGATGACGGGGAGCCCTGGAAATTTTGGTGTTTTCTTAATCTATGAAAAATACCGAATTGATCCTGGCCGGCTGCGAGTACATCCTCAGCATGTCCTGCACGCACCAATCGCCGGGCGGCTCGTTTTTGACGCGCCTGAAAATGTTCGGTTTTGCAAGAACGCGTGAAAAGGGCTTACTGAGCCACGCGTTTCGTCGCGACGCGAATCACCGACGTCGAGCAGCTTTCGGTGGAAGTGACGGAAACGTTGAGCGCATGTTTGGAGGAGCCTGGCGTCTAAAGTAGGGTAACGTTGCACGTATAAAGTGTTTTATATAGTTTTTAGCGCGTTTTAATATTTGACGACCAAAACTTTCAAAAAAAAGTCGGAAAATTCTTGAAAAAGTCGTAAAAACTCTATTTTTCCGCCCAAAATGAATTTTTTTAGTAAAATTTGTAACGTCTTTATTCTCAGGCATTGCTAAAAACAATCTAGAAACGAATCCCCTATTTAAAAAATTTAGAATTGGAAAAACTGACTTACCGAGGGCTCGTGAACGGACTTCTCCAGCGAAATGCCGTCGTCAAACAGCTGGGCCTGCGCTTCGTACTCGGGCGACCAAATCGACCAGGCGGGGATCTAAATCGGAATAAAAACAACTATAGATGGTTAAATTACCTTTGGCGTCAACTCAAAGTTTTCCTCAAAGCTCCCGTCGTCTCGCTGCGAATTGCCGAGCGCCAGCTGGACGGCGAATTCCGGGGGCAGAATCTGCAAAAAAAAAGCTCAGGGAGGAGCCGAAAGAACGAACCACTCCGGCGTATTCGAACGACGGCAATCTCCCGGTGAGGGGGTCGATGTTCTCCTTCTCAGATTCCGGATACGGCGTCAGGGGGCGCTGCTTTCGGGCTCGCGGGTCGAACACAACCTAAGATTGTCGTTTGCTGGCAAAAAAGGGGTTCTGTTCTGTTAGCGGTGGGGGGGATTTTTCCCTGTGGTTTTCTAAGGCCCTATAACATAATATAAAACATTTTATAGCATTTTACATAGTCTAGATATAAAAACAATACAAAAAAATTTTCGCAATTTTGACTTTTTAGTCGAAAATGTATGAAAAATGGCCAAAAAAAGTCAAAATTTCGAGTTTTTAAAACTGAAAAATCTTTTTAGCAATCAAAAACTAGGTGCAAAAACAGAAACTGGTCCCCCCCCGCTAACAGTCCAGTACCAAAAAGGGCCCCATTACCTGATGCAAGAACGTGTTCTCGGCTTGTATAAAATCCTCGATGAACTCGTTGGTGACGCGCAGCTTCGGCATTCGCAGCGTGAACGGGACCCGGCGCAGCATCTAAGTGCCATATCAGTTTTTCACAAGTTCTTTTACCTGTCGCAATTCGGCGTTGCCCGTCTTCGCCAAGCACACTTGCGCCTTTGACAACCCGACGCCGGGGAGACCGGCCTAAAAACACAAGTAAAAAACGAAATTTCGAGCTCACCTGCAAATAATCACATCCAGAGAGTATACAAAGGCGGCGAAACTTCTCGAAGGTGAATTTGAAGTTGGTTTGGAAGCAGTTTTCCAGTTTCGAGCGATCGTAGAAGACGCAACTTCCCGCCGCCGCGTGCGTCCACTTGAAGATTATCTGAAAAAGGTGGTAACTGATCGGAAACTCGTTTTCAAATACCTTATGGCACCCAAAGACGATCAGATCCGAGTCTTGTGTGATGACGTAATCCACAATGCCCTCAAGCGAAAGGAACGCGAGCTGCGCGTCCGACTCGTACGGCGACACGACCACGTCCACGTTGCGCATTTTTCGGAACGACTAGAATACCAGCGAATAAAACAAGGTATACATTACGGACCCGAATACAATCGTCCACCATCTCCTTCGTGATATGCGTGGCGCGTTTGAAGTTTTCACTGGCCTCATCCTGCTTGCCCTCCTTCATCAGCGCGTGGCCTACACGAGTTCCTAGCATTCATTGAGCAACATTTAAATACCTTGAGCCAAATATCGTTCCCGTTGCTCGCGGCGTTGATCGTTGACCTCCTAGAAAGCTTTTGCTCCACAACCGAGGGAAAACCGGCAGCTACCCGCTTGGCCGGCAGTCGTCGCCCGTCGAACACCATCACCACGTGGCACTTCTGCTTCAGCAGCTCCTCAATAAAGCCGCGCACGTAGTAGATGAAGCTGAAAAAATCCACGTTGCAAAAAGTGACACAGAAAACGTACAAATTGGTGTCAACGCCGGTCGCCACTTTGTCCATGCAGCCGAAAAGCCCGCGGTGGAGTAGGCAACTCGCGTCGATGGCCACCGATTTGCCGGCAATCTCGCTGATGTGACCCTAAAGTGGGTTTATAACAGAACAAAACTTGGTTAACCTCTTTGCATGCCGGCTTCACGAAGGGTAGCAGGCCGCCGATGCCCATGCGGAACTGAAATGCGAGAGATTAGAAGTGAATGGAGTGCCAGCCGTTGCACTGGTAAGGGAAAATAACGGGGAAGAATGGGTTTATAACCGTTTTAGCTGCTAAAATCGATAAAGTCTGGCTAATTCGACTATACGCTCTCATATTCCAACGATAAATGGGGGCCAAAAACTAGCTAGAAACCTCAGAAACAAGCTAAAAGCCGTATTTACGTCGTAAAAAAGAATTCGATGCGTTTGAACTTTCTTATATAACTTCTCCGTGGTTTATCAGTATTTTAGGGGCGTTACAGATATTTTCCCCTACCAGTGAAATGAGTGGCCGCAAAAATTGGAATAAAATTCAGAGAGAACTCTAGAGAGGGGCTCACACAGTCAAAAGTTGTCGTTTCGCGCGCATTCCAGCGCAGGCACAAAACCGATTACGACCGCCGCCAGGCGGCGCAAAACTTGTAAAACCCTGAGGGGACCGCGTCATTTCAACAAATAAAATGAGACGCGAAAGTGTGAGACATATCCATAAGCGTGAAAAGTATGTTTGTTTGCTGTAATGATTGATTAATGCTTGGCGAAATAAATCGCGAAAATGGCACCACCGCAACTGGTTGATTTTTTGATGCTCTATCGAATCGCGTTAACAGAATGTCGAAAAATATAGAAAATCGGAAAAATACCTTACCATCCCCATTTTCAGGGTTATTTTAGCTGTTGTTGTAAAAATGTACAATGTAAAAATGTTGTAAAAAATTTCGAGGATTCATAGAAGCGCAAAACGCTCGAAAAACTCAAATTTCAAAACTCGGAAACGCTAAATCCCTGGAATTTCTATCCACGTTTTTTTGTCGGTCGAACCGGCGGGAACGCAGCTAAAAGACGAAAAACTGGCGGTGGTGCATAGCGTGTATTTTCGGATTTTTTTGCAACGCATTTATTGCAAGCTATTAGTGACACTAGGAAGTGGCCATCGCTGTTTCAATCGTTCCAGGGGCCGAATGAAGGACAAGCGTCTCGCCTCCCACTCGATCAGCTCGATGTCGGGCCCGTAGTTGATCGCGTAGAACATTTGGATCACATCGTAGTCACCGCGCTTAAAATGTTTTGGTTAAAGCAACAACTAGCAGAGGTCATTTGGGATGAGAGCGAGTGGGAGGGGGCAGGCTGGCAGAGATCATTTAGGATTCACAATTTAAATAGCTTACGAGATGTATCGTTTTCGTCGACGAAACGCTGTAAATCCGGCAGTTTTCCCGCAGCAAATTCCCGACTTTATTGATTATTTTTGTATAGAGGTTCCAGCAAAGCTAAAAAAATAGTTTGCATTTATAACCCCCCATAAAAAGATACCATTGGTTTCCGAATCAGCGCCGTGCAGACGACAAGCCGTCGCCTCCGGCTTTTCAGAGCCTGCAATGTTTTTGGTTTGGCACTTTTTTAAATCTGTAAAGCCTAAGCCAAGCCTAAGCCAAGCCTAAGCCAAGCCTAAGCCAAGCCTAAGCCAAGCCTAAGCCAAGCCTAAGCCAAGCCTAAGCCAAGCCTAAGCCAAGCCTAAGCCAAGCCTAAGCCAAGCCTAAGCCAGCCTAAAGCCTAGCCTAAGCCAAGCCTAAGCCAAGCCTAAGCCAAGCCTAAGCCAAGCCTAAGCCAAGCCTAAGCCAAGCCTGAGCCAAGCCTAAGCCAAGCCAAGCCAAGCCTAAGCCAAGCCTAAGCCAAGCCAAAGCTAAGCCAAAGCCAAGCCTAAGCCAAGCCTACCAGCTGCAGGGTGTGGCGGGCGATTTTCAGAAAAGCCAGCGATAGCACGCGATCGGCGCGCGAATCAGAGTGAATACGCACGCTCACGTAGTCGTGGTTTTTCACCTGAAAGAAAGCGTTTTCTTCGGGGAGACTAGCAGAGATTCTTTGAGGAATGGGGGGCAGGCTAGCTGGGGGAAAAAAATTGAGGAAGTCGCCACTCACCAAATCGAGCCTCATCGGATACGGCGTTTTACAGTTGCATTTTATGGGGCCCATATTTCGGAGAGCATACGCGACGCGGCAGACATGGTGCGTCGTGAATTCCACCTACAAAATTTTAATTCCTGGGCAGGCTAGCAGAGATCTTTGAGGAGATTCTAAGCCAGCTTAGGCTTGGCTTAGGCTTACAACTTACCGCTTCCGCAGCCGGGGTGCAACGTATTCTGGTGCGTAGCTTCGCGTACTCTCCGTCGATAAATAATAGACGATATTCGCCGCGGAACGGCTTCTTGAGCAGGTTCAGGTTGTGGGAGAATTTCAGCTCTTCCTGGAAGGAGGCAGGTTAGCAGAGATTCTTTGAGGAGAGAGCGAGAGAGAGAAGCAGGCTAGCAGAGATTCTTTGGGCCACTTTACCTCCATCGAGCCGAGCGGCCGGAAAATGACTGAGGCTCCGCTGAGTACGTCCGTAATCTTGTTGACGATTTGAAAACAATTTTCTTCTTTCAGCCGATCGAAAGAGGCTCGAGATGCCAGTCCGCTCTCTATCGTTAATGGTAATTTGAGGGCTCTAGAAGGCAAGAATCAGTTAACTTAAATTTTGAAGCCCCTACCCAAACTGGCTGTAGACGATATCGAGGCGCATTTGCCCGCTCCCGTGCCGCCCCTTGGTCAGAATCATCGCGAATAGTTCTACGGGAGTCCGGCAGCAAATTTGGATCTAAAAATCACGAATTCCCCAAATGATCTCTGCTAGCCTGCCCCCTCCCCCTCTCTCTCTGATCCCAAATGATCTCTGCTAGCCTGCCCCCTCCCCCTCTCTCTCATCCCAAATGATCTCTGCTAGCCTGCCCCCTCCCCTCTCTCTCATCCCAAATGATCTCTGCTAGCCTGCCCCTCCCCCTCTCTCTCATCCCAAATGATCTCTTGCTAGCCTGCCCCCTCCCCCTCTCTCTCATCCCAAATGATCTCTGCTAGCCTGCCCCCTCCCCCTCTCTCTCTCATCCCAAATGATCTCTGCTAGCCTGCCCCCTCCCCCTCTCTCTCATCCCAAATGATCTCTGCTAGCCTGCCCCCTCCCCCTCTCTCTCATCCCAAATGATCTCTGCTAGCCTGCCCCCTCCCCTCTCTCTCTCATCCCAAATGATCTCTGCTAGCCTGCCCCCTCCCCTCTCTCTCATCCCAAATGATCTCTGCTAGCCTGCCCCCTCCCCCTCTCTCTCATCCCAAATGATCTCTGCTAGCCTGCCCCCTCCCCTCTCTCTCTCATCCCAAATGATCTCTGCTAGCCTGCCCCCTCCCCCTCTCTCTCATCCCAAATGATCTCTGCTAGCCTGCCCCCTCCCCCTCTCTCTCATCCCAAATGATCTCTGCTAGCCTGCCCCCTCCCCCTCTCTCTCATCCCAAATGATCTCTGCTAGCCTGCCCCCTCACCTTCATCCCATCCATTTCGCACTGTATCGTATCCCAGTGATTCGGGAGCAGCAGCCGCAAATTTTTTCGATTAGCATAGCACTAAAATGGCACTAAAAATTACATACACATATAAACCGAATTTAATTCGAGGCAATAAAATACATTAAAACGACCTAAGATATCAAAAAAACATACGGAGCACGTTCTGTTGAGCCTGAGTTTTTCCGGCAACCGCAAATGCCGGTGCACCAAATGCAGCTGATCCGCGTTCAGTGCCCCAATCGAAAAGCGGGATTCGCCCGAGTGCCTGCAAAATTTTGATACAATTTCCCGGAATTTACCTTTTTTTTCTTTTTTCTCTTGCTCTAAGGTTCCAATTTTTCGAAATATAAATAGCGGCAGTGTTTCTAAACTGCTTTTTTTTACTTCCCCTTAACCCCAAAAGCGAACAAATTTGCGTAAAGAAACACAAAAGTCTTGATTTTTCTAGGCAATTGGCCGATTTCGACCAAAGTTCGGCTAATTTTTAGATTTTTCTATTGTGTTTCCACCTCAAATATAATTAATTTTTACAACTATTCACCACTAACTATTAAAGAAAACACTTACGACTGCAGTAATAGGCATTACTAGGCGGATTCGGTCACCCGAGAATGCGAAGGAACCATAAAATGCAATAAAAAAATTTCACGAAGACAGGATTTAACTAAATATTGCTAAACGATATAAATACCCTAAAACCTCGTGTATAGTCCCCCCCGTGTATAGTTCCGGGTGAAAATTTTCATGTGTACGGAGCGTCCCTAATTCCGTATGACCCACATTAGGTATGTTTCGTTTTTTCAGTTTCTTGCAAATGGCACAGCGGATACAGCCTTACTTAAACCTGCAACGAAGTACAAGTACACTAATTACGGAATTCGTAAACGGATTGTGTCGTACTATTTTTTTGGACCGATTACGTGGGGGAAAATGGGGCTGGGCTGACCTGGCTACGGTGGTCAGGTCACCACATTGGGGCGAAGGCTGGCGGAGAGAGGGAGTCCCGGGCCCGCGAAAATAAGCAGGGGGCTTGCGGTAAAAGCCGATTTCAAGAAGTTCCGACGTTATTGGCGAATATGCTTTGGTAGAAATGTAGAAGAACTCACGGCGCGTCTTTTGAGCACAAAATCATAGAAATCTCCCATCGATTTTTTAGGGTTCATGGGGGTCGAAAGTTTTCGAGGTTAAAAGTTAAGTATTTAAGTGAACTTCAGGCCCGTTTCCGGCATAAAAGATCTCGAATTAAGGTAGTTTTGTGCGTAGATTCTGAATATGAGTTTTGTTTTTCCGTCCGAGCTCATATTTTCGAGATAAAAGCAAATTTTGGTGAAATTCATCCGGGAAACAACAAAATTTCGGCACCTGGGTACAAAAGCACGCTGAAAACGATAAAATAGAAATGAAAAGTTAAAAACTGATTTTGCTAAGCATTTTGCTCTTACTCAGTTAAGTCAATCGATTCGACAAACGGGATGGTACGTTATGCTACTCGTTACGGTGTTCCGTCATTTGAATTATGCCGTAGCCGGTCGACCTTCGTTGTTTAGCTGTTTCCGCTGTGAATGGTATTTTTGCAATTTTGATGGAATATTTGTTCGTATTTCGGCTATTTCCAAGAATTTGAGTCGTTTAATGAAAGAAATTGCTGCATGAGGCCCTGGGAACCGGCTCTTTTGGCTTACATAGCTTTTGCGCCGAATTGTACCCTACGCACATTATTTGGTGTCATTTGTATTGGTACGGAACCATATTGTTCCGGAACTATACACGAGGTTTTAGGGTATCAAGATTAAATCGAGAAATTTTATTGCGAATTTTGTCGTTTTTAAATTTTGCACTTAAAATTACTATATTAGGCGATCCAGATAGCCACACTCATTGAATTTGTTCGAAATATTTTTTTGTAGATTCGAATGTTTTTCAGACCGGGTTGTTTGATACGAAATTCCCACCTTATTTTTGGATCGTCCATTTAATTGAATTATAAAACTAATAAAAGTCCCGGAATAAAAAGGAATCTAAAGCACAATAATCGATATTTGTTGGGCTTGGTGGCAGCCGGGGGGTGGCTGGGGGGTATTAGAGATGGTAATGCCCTGGGGGCTATAAGGGCTGTCCTCCCAGGGGTCACGGTATTGATTCATTATCGGGGGGAGGGGGCAGACTAGCAGTGATCCTTTGGAATACATTTTTGTATGTCCGAACTTATTCCAATTTATTTTATTCTAATTCGAATTTATTCGGCACCAAGAAAGCACGAAAAACCGCATAAAAAATTAAATAGAAAATCGTCAAAAACAAAAGAAAATTGATATAATCAGAGATCATACGGTAGAGAGGTAAAATAAGGAGAATCATATGAGGGTATCTTGGGCTTGGCTTAGGCTTGGCTTAGGCTTGGCTTAGGCTTGGCTTAGGCTTGGCTTAGGCTTGGCTTAGGCTTGGCTTAGGCTTGGCTTAGGCTTGGCTTAGGCTTGGCTTAGGCTTGGCTTAGGCTTGGCTTAGGCTTGGCTTAGGCTTGCGGCAGGCTTGGCTTAGGCTTGGCTTAGGCCTCAGGCTTGGCTTAGGCTTGGCTTAGGCTTGGCTTGGGCGGCAGGCTTGGCTAGGCTTGAGCCCAGGCTTGGCTTAGGCTTGGCCTAGGGCCTGGCTTGAGGCTTGGCTTAGGCTGGCTTGGAGCTTGGCTTAGGCTTGGCTTAGGCTTGGCTTAGGCTTGGCTTAGGCTTGGCTTAGGCTTGGCTTAGGGCTTGGCTTAGGCTTGGCTTAGGCTTGGCTTAGGCTTGGCTTGGGCGCGGGCTAGTAGGCTTGGCTTAGGCTTGGCTTAGGCTTGGCTTAGGCTTGGCTTAGGCTTGGCTTAGGCTTGGCTTAGGCTTGGCTTAAGTCTTTGAAAAATGAACTGCATTTTCCACTTAATAAAATTCATTATAAATGCACATCGGGAGAGTCGGATCTAATAGAAATAGATTTTCTATCGTTATTATTCTTAGAAGGGTGTGGGAGCAGATTCTGAGACTTGGTTCTCATATCAGAAGTGGAGGGAGGGCCACCGGCAAATGAGAGATCCGAGACGAACCAGCCGATCGTGTTTTTGAGCTCGCGTTGGACCTGAAAGATAGAGAATGAGAGAGCGAGAGAGATAGAGAGAGAGAGAGAGAGAGAGAGAGAGAGGAGAGAGAGAGAGAGAGAGAGAGGGAGAGAGATGAGACGCCTACCTCCTTATTGTTGCAAATGTACGTGAACCCGTTGGCCCCAGAGTTGACGATGACGAACAGAGAGACAAAGGAAAACCTGAAAAATGTTTTGTAAGCGCAGGCTAGCAGAGATTCTTTGAGGAATTCGACTAACCATTCCTTAGATGATTTCCCAAACAGCACCGGAAATACCCGAAAGCACACCCAGGCGAGCAGGTAGAACAGCGAGATGGCGCAGAATTGCATGGCGTAACTGAAAAATTAAAATTATAAAATAAAAAATCGATTAAAAAATTTAAATCAAATTAAAAAACGTTGTTCCAGCTGTTTATCCCAATCCCAAGGTCTGCAGGGATTTAATATTTGTAGATAGCGGCACTGTGGCCTTTTTAGGACTGGGCATGCTAGCAGAGATTATTGGCGGCTCGGAAAATCATATTGGCGGGTTCAATCCCAAATGATCTTTGCTAGCCTGCCCGCAAGGATTTTGTTGGCTGGGAATTACGAGTATATTTTTTGCCAAAACGTGTTTCATAAATCTCCGATACCTGAATTTTTTTCAAGAAGCATTAATAATAAGGTGGTTAATTTAATCGATAAATGATTGATTTCTAAATTTTTTCTGTTTCTAAATCTTATATTTCCATTAACAATATTAATTTCTAGCTTATTAGGCCCCAAAATAATCAATAAACGCGGAAAAATTACCGATATTCCTTATATTTCCTGCGTAACGACACGGCGGGCGCCATGGCGGTTGAAAGATTTCGCCTCGAGCGCCGCATATTCAGCATTATCTGCAAAAAAGCACCTAGAAAAAGCAATGTGAATTTTTGCAGGCGTATTGCAATGGATAGCTACTTTATCGGGAATTAGGAATTTTTGTGCAGCCCGAGTATGGAACATTTGCGAAACATTTTTTTTGCCTAAGACCCGCAGCAAAAATACAGCGATTCTTACCCTCCTACTTTTGCAAAATTGGTGGCTCGAAGTTTCCCTTATTTTTTGTAAAAAGTTAGCAAATTCCGGCAGTTTT